CCTCAGTCGCTTTGTGCCCTTATATTTAAGATGTGTTTCTTGTAAGCATCATATAGTTGTGTTTTACTTTTATATCCAATCTAAAAATTTTAGTCTTTTTAGTATTTGGTAAATTTACGTTTGATGTAGATACTGATATATTTGGGCCTTCATTTACCACATTACTCTTGATTTCTGCTCGTTTCCACCCTTCTTTGGGTTTTGTTTGCTTTGCTCTTTTTCTCCTTCCTTAACATGAAAGCTTGGATTATTCACTTGAGACCTTTCTTCTTTAATATAAGTATTTAGTACTATAAATTTCTCTCTAAACACTGTTTTAACTGCACCCTACAGATGTTTGATTTATGTATAGTCATTTTCATTCAGTTCAGAAACATTTTTTTAATTTTCCTTGGGATGTCTTCTTTGATCTTTGGATTTATTTAAGCGTGTGCTGTTTAATGTGCCAGTGATGGAAGATAGTTTTGTTATCTTTGTGATTGATTTCTGGCTTAATTCCATTATGAGCAGGCAATATAATCTATATGGTTTCAGTTCTTTTAATTAAAATTTGTTTTATTATCCAGAATATTACATACATTGGTGAATGAACGTTCCTGGATTCTTGAGGAAAATATATATTCTGTTGATGATGGGCTTACTGCTTTACAGATAGCAGTGAGATCCAGCGGATGGTGGTGCTGGTCAGCTCTTTTGTATCCCTGCTGGTGCTTGGTCTCCTTGCTCTGTCCATTACTGTGGGAGTAGTTTTGAAGTCTCCAGCTGCAACTGTGGATTTGTCTGTTCTTCCTTTCAGTTGTATCAGTTTTGCTTTCTGTATTTTGGATTTCTATTTTTAGATGCATACACATTTATTTATAGCTTCTTGATGGCAGACTCTTTTATCAAAATGTTATGTCTTTATTTATCCCTGGTAATTTTGTTTTGAAGTCATCTTTGACATCAATAGAGTCATTCTAGCTTTCTAGTGACTCATATTTGTGTGGTGTATTTTTTCTCCTTTACTTTAACCAATCTGTGTCACTATATTTGTACACAATATAGTTATTTTTTTTTGTTTAGAAAGATCTCTTTTATTTGCTGTATTTAGATCATTTACATTTAGCATAATTCTTTGTTAGGATATAGTTAACCTTTTCATTTATGTTTGTTTATCCATACTGTTTCTATTTTCTTGCTTTTTTCTTTCCTGCCTTCTTTATGCTATTTACCATTTTTTAGTATTACATTTTATCTATTGTAGTTTTTACTGTGTTTTTGTATAAGCCTTTTAAGTGTTACTATTGGGAATATAAAATACTTTTCACAGTCTACTTATAATCAAAACTTTACCGCTTCAATTGTAATATACTTACTACCTAAGTATATTACTACCTTGTAGATTCCTCTACCATCCCCATTATGTTCTAATTTTCTAATATAATGAAAACCCCGTCAGATAATATTATGTATTTTGCTTTTCTGCTATCAAATGTACTTTAAAGAAAAAGAATGTTGTGTTATGTTTACCCAGACAGTTACCATTTCTGTGCTGTTCTTCCTTTATTCCTAATGTTCTAAGTTTCCTTGTATTTCTCCTGTCTGTGAAGAGCTTCCTTTGGCAATTCTTTTAGAGCAGTTCTGCTTCTAGTAGTTGTTCTCATCTGAGAATGTCTTTATTTTACTTTAATTCCTGAATGATGCTTTTGCTAGATAAGGAATTCTAGTATAATACTCTTTTCTTTTAGCACTCTAAAAATGTGTTGCTCTCTTCTCACCTCAGTGTGATGAAAAATCCACAGTAATTTAAATACTGTTTCCCTATAAGTAATGCATTATTTTTTTTTCTGTGCATTCAAGATTCTTTGTCTTTAGCAAGTTTGATTATGATGTGTTTCAGAGTGGATTCTTTGGGTTGATCTTGTTTGATATTTTTCTCAGCTTCTTGAATCTATAGGTGTATGTCTTTCATCACAGTTGAAATAGTTTTAGCTATGATTTCTTCAAATACCTTTTCATGCTCTGACTTCTCATTGTAGAATGCCAGTGACTTTTGTTGTCTCATAGGTCCCTGAGGCTCTGTCCTTTTGTGTTTTCAACCTTTTTTCCTCCTGTTGCTCAGGTTGGGTCATTTCTGCTGTTCCATTTTGAAGTTCACTGCATCTTTCCATTCTGCTAAAGAGTCCATTCAGAGTGGTTTAAAAAATTTTTTGGTTATATTTTTAGTTCTAAAGTTTCCATTTGGTTCTCATTTCTATCTTCTATGTTTTTACAGTCTACTCTGTTTTCATACTTCATTCAAGAGTGTTAGTGATTGCTTGTTTGAGCATTTTTATAGCACTTTAAAGTCTTTGTCAGATAATTTCAACATGTGTCATCTTTTTTTTTTTATTGTCTTTTGTTGATTGCCTTTTCTCATGTGAATAAAGATTTTTGTGGTTGTTTGTATGCCAGGCAGTTTCGGATTTTATTCTGGCTATTTAAAATACGACACTGAGACACTGTGTCTTCTTGAAATCCTGCAGAGAATGTTAATGCTTTTGCTTCAGCAAGCAATTATGTTGGTTAAGTTCAGGCAGGAGGTTGGAATTGTAATTTCGATGTTAGGATCTGTCTTGTGTGTCCATCTCCAGAGGTCAGCCTGGGATCTGTGCAGAGGTTCGTTAGCTCAGTTCTTTGAGGTTTTGGTGTGCCACTTGGATTTGTTCCATGCGTACACAGGTCTAGGGTGAGCCTAGGAGTTCAAAAAAAATTTCATGAGGTTGCTTTCTTGAGCTCTTCCCTGTTAGCTCCCTGATACTTTCTGGTTCCCTGGGTCTCCCATTTTCTGTCTGGCCAGACCGCTCACTTCCACAGTTGTCACGTCTGGGGCCGAGAACAGGCAGAGAGAGAGAAGAGTTTTGGTGGATGGCTCCTGCTCCTGGCTGTTGCTGCTACTGAACTGCCATTACTGCCACCACACAACTGCCATGGGGCCTGGGGCCTGGGGCAAAAGTGGAAAAGGAAAGGGGGCTTTAGCTGCTCTCTGTAAGCTTTGGGAGTTTCCTTTCCCATTCCTCAAGCCTGGCTTCTGCTGGAGCTCTCTCTTCTGCACCAGAGTGCTCACTTCTGGGGTTTGAATTTGTTGAGTTCAGGATGGGCTTTGTTGGAGGGAAAGGAGTGGTGGGGCTTTGGTTTCAGCATCCTTCCCCAGTCTGCCATTGCTGTTTACTTTTAGTGTTTGCAGCTAGCTGTGCTGTGCGTTCTGTTCAGGTTTTACGTAGAGAGAAAGGATGTATGTATTTTCTCTGTCTTCCCTAGAACTAGAACCTCTGATTGATATTACTTAAAATTTTAATGTTCTTATTAACTCATCTCTATAGACAGAACAGCAGTTGATGTTGTTAATAAGAGTTCAATTAAGTGGCCAGATAGCACAGTTTTCAATTAATTCTTTGGACTGTGTTTATGCTCTCGGTTATGTCAGCTGCACATGCTATTTTGGTCTCTTTGATCGCATAATCTTCACTGTATTTTTCTATTTGCACCTTCCAGCCAGCATGTGAGGGAATGTAGTTTTGTTATTTCTTTGCAGCTTGTGGGGTGGCTTCCTTGGAGCACAGCCTCTTACACACAGGCCCGTGGTGGGGCTGGTCAGGGCGGCAAATCCAGATGTAGCTCAACTAAGCTGTAGGAGGCAGAGTTTTGAGAAAAACTAGATGGGAATCCTCACTGAAGACCCTTTCAGTGTAAGTCTGTGCTTGCTTCAGACAACTGAACTAGAGCTGACGTTTTCAGACAACAGCCTATTGAACTCAGCAGGTTGGGTATAACTTCAGACTAAGTCTACCTGCTGCTCTTTTAAGATACAAACTTTGCAGAAATTCCACCTGATGCATTTGAGTTGGCGGCTGGTCTCTGGCACACTCAGCGGGTGGGAGAGGATCTCAGTGGAGGTGCCGATTCGCTCACATGTAATTCAGAGTCCAGGGGTAATGGTCTGATTATGCCTGTGACCTTCCTGTCTCCGTGAGTGACTGGTTAAGAAATGCTCAGCCTCTCCTTGAGAACTGGGGAGATGCTCATCCAGCCCTGTTGTTGTGATCAGGTGGAGGTGGCTGAGGCCAGCCTGGCCCCAGTTTGATGTGGGGTTAGGGTCAGGCTCCCTGTGCACTGCTGTAGTGGCCCCTCGATCTCACTGAGCCCTGACCACCTCATCTCTAAAACCCGCTACGTGCTTACCTTGCGAGGTGAGGCTACCGAAAAGTGAGAAAATGTACAGAGCCATGTGAATGTTTATTAAAAACTACTTTTTTAAAATAACAGTCAAAGATAAAAATAGGAAATGAATGGTGAATTAAGAGAAGCAAGTCTAATTCTTGAGTTAAGGTTCATTTCTAAAGCCTTCTCTTCCGTGCCTCACAGGACATGGACTTGTTTTATAGGGGGGCTGAGTTCGGAGGTCTCTGGAAGCCTGCGCTGGGCTAGCACATGTCTGAGTCCCTTCCAGCCCCAGAGTTTATGATTCTGCATATGGTGCCGCAGAGTCAAGGATGCCCCAGTGTTCTCTCCTCTGTTTCCCCCAGGACTGCAGCAGTGAGCAAGGATACCCTTCTGGGGGCCCCTGGGCAGGGGCTGTGCCTCGCTGTGGCTGTTAGTGCCTCTTCCTTCTCCCAGGCTCCCAAGATTACCAGGAACCCAGATGAGAGGTGCTGTGGGGTTTGGGACACAAGGGCCCCCTGGGTCCCAGAATTCACAACCAGAAAGGTTGTTCCCCTATGATTTGCTTTAACAGGAATGTTCAGGCTTCCAAAACACAACCCTCCTGAGGCACCGACAGGTACCCCATCCTGACCTGGCACGCCTCCAGCTGCAGCGGACTCCCTGCTGCCCACCCCCGGGGTCACCAATGTCTGCCTATCTCCATGAGGCTCAGGGCTCGGTGTCTAGTAACACAGGTGGCCTGAGACTCAGGATGTCTGTCCAGTGGATCCTGAGTCAGGGATGGGCCAGCCGACCACTTTCTTTTCCCTCCCTTGCAGATCACCTCCAACAAGAAGCACCTGGAGAGCCTCAAGAATGCGGGCAGCCTCCTGCAGGCTCTGGAGAGGCTGGCCCCAGCCGGCGGGTGAGTAGGCCCCAGAGGGCCGGGGAAGCGGTACAGGGTGCACTCAGCGGACTCTCCCCCCATTTCTCCTACACACCAGGGTCCACCACCTTCCATCCTGTCATGGCCCACAGAGACCCCTCCCAGCCTGTCCTTCCCCCCGGGACTCCCCCGTGCAGGCTGGGGGTCATGGGAGCGAGAAAAGCAGATTATCCTAGCCCTGCAGGGGAGGCAGCATTCCCAGCCATAGGGCGAAGGGATGGGGACAGGAGTGCACTGTGTGACCAGGTGGGAGATGTGATGAACGTCAAGAAAAGCAGTACCCCTTCTGTGTACAGGTGTCCCCATCAGCAACCCGGGCCGGAGGCACCATTGTCACCACCTTGCTGAGGGTCTGGAGGCCTGGGGTCAGAACAGCTCAGCCCGCTCTAAGCCCCAGAAAACTTGAATCTACACAACAGACTGTGTGACACTGAGAAGCTGACTATGTGAGGTTAGGTCGGCCTCTCAGTCCTCAGCCTGCAGTCAGTACATCTAGAACATCCTAGGAGTGAGGTGACAAGGACAGCCCTGTCATCCAGGAGCGGGCGTGTCAGCCCCACGGTGATGCTGATGCCAGTGTGCTGAGAGCCGCTGGGAGGGTCCCTCCCACGACCACACCCCCCCACCCTCGACTCCCTGAACTGGAGAGGTGGGCAGGGGGTGGAGGTAGGGCTGATGAGTCTTTATTTAAAATGTTAGTGCCAAGTGACCAAAGAAAAACTGCCCCAGGTGTCCACCCTTCAGTCACCTGGTGCTGTAGAATGACTCTGCAGGGGACAGGGCCAGAGCCTGGCAGGTGGTGGAGGCTTGATGGAGACCCAGTGGGTGCCTCCTCCCCAGAGCTAAGCGGGGCGGCAGGAGGAGGTGGTGGCCACAGTCCCGAGCCCCAGCTGCTCTCCCCGCCCTGGGGAGGAGGACCTGCCCAGCCTTCACTGGGCGTGCAGGGCAAGGAATGCTGCCCGGTAGCATCTGTTTTCAGAACCACAGGGTTCTACGAAACCTGCTTCCTGGCATTTTGGGTTTTGTATTAATGGAAGAAAAACAGGTGGTTGAGGTGAGTCTGTGGAGAAGGCTCAGCTCCAGCCAGCCTTTTGCCTGGATTGGGTGGGGGAGGGGGACAGCCTCCCCCACCCACGATCTGCTTTCGCTCAAGCCAAAGAAGTAGGCTGTGACCTGTGGCTACTGTGAGGTGAGGGGAAGGATGGGCTTCGATGGGAAGGACCCCTCCTCACCCCGGTGGCCCCTGGGGCATAAGGTGTGGACAGTGGCCCCCGGGCTGGGCTGTAGGCCTGTGCCAGACTAGTTTGTGAGGAGCAGGTGATGCCCACCCCTGGGGGCCAGCTCTGTTTGGCCTTGTGCGAACAGCTGAGATGAAGCCCCTCTGAGCAGATTCGTGCTGGGAAGGGATGGGAGAGCCACTGGGAGGAGTGGAGTGGGTAGGACCCTTCCTCTCCAGGGTCTGCCTCTGTAGGCCGTCTCCCCTGGCAGGGCCAAAGCCAGCACATTCTCATGCCGCATGGATCTGGGAGAGCTGGACCCAAATGTGGACCAGATGTGTCACAACAGGGCTTCCTGAAGCTGGTGGCCTCTCCTGTCCCCATACGTCACACCCCAGCCACTGACATGTCTACCTACACCGGGCAGATCTTGCACTGGCGTCAGGTTGCTGCTCAGAAGCTCTCTCATCTGGGCTTTGTTCAGTGGCCCAAGCAGGAAAGGGTTTTTGTATGTCGACCGAGAGTGGATGGCAGCATTCTGGGTTGTGACGGGGACTTGCCAGATTGGTGTGCCCTCCTTGCAGGTCGCTGGGTCCCCAGGGCTGCTCTGGAAGGTGGGGTGGCCCCACCAGGCTAACCTGGCCCCAGCAGGGAGCAGGCTGAGTTGAAATGCAATCCCACATCCCTCAGGGCCTTCGATGTGCGAAGCAGGGATGTGCAGCACCGTCTCTGACTGCAGCCCCGTTCTTGACACCCACCTCTGCTTGCAGTCCCCTGACCCCCAGTTATTTGGTGACAGCTCTATTTGGAGTCGAGTGTGCCACCAGCTAATTTTACACTTCAAGGCACACTGCTACGTGCCACTCTTCCCTTTGGTAACAGTTGTTAAGGCTCAGGTTTAAGTGTGTCTCAAACAATTTGTTCCAGTAACAGCATTTCCATTTGAAGCTCTTAATTGCACATCCACACCTATGAGAATAAGAAACCCAAGGCCCCTGGTTGATTCATCAGGAAGGGGTAACATGGAGCAGGAGAGTCCCTGGCTGGGACCTTTGCTGGTTGGCACAGGTCAGCTGCAGACAGGCGCTGGGCAGGGCCTGCAGGCTCTAAGTGCTGTCTGCCTGATGCCCTCACAGCACAGCCTCGGTGCATCTGGCCCAGGTGGGCCAGACGTCGAGTGGTGGCAGGGCCAAGAGCTTGAGCGGAGCTTGGGGGGTCTGGAAGAGCCCGTTCTGAGCCCCATTAGGACTGTGGGCAGAGCCTGGGAATCCTGTTTCTGCTTCTCAAAAGGATGCCCAGGGCAGCTCTGGGAAGCATCTGTTCCATCAGATACTGGGGCACAGAAGAGGCCAGTCTCTTTGGAAAACGGGGCATTTTACCCTGGAGTTGCCTACGTGTTTCTGTTTTGTTTTCTCACAGTTCATCAGCCAACAGTGCAGTGGCTTCCTTGGCCCTGGAAATCCTCCAAGCAGCTGGACAGTAGGCAAGAAGGCCCTTGGCACAAGCCCACCCTCGGCTATACACATTCACCACATGGCCACCGGCAGCTCTGTTTGGATCTAATAAAGTCATCTGAACCCAGAACCTCTGGCTAAGGTGCTCTCACTCCCTCCGGGCCCTAGAAAATCCACTCAGAATGCACCCTGTCGGTTCCTGTGGGATGCATCTGGGAACCCCAGGTTTGCTAGCTGTGCTCAATGCTTTCTCTGTGTGGGCCTCTGCTAAAGCCTGCACTGCCTGTGCTGATCAAAGTGGGGGAGAAGCCGCAGTCCTCAGCCTGCCAGCATCTCTAAGCATCTTTCTCCTGCAGAGAAGACGTGATACACAGGACTCCTCCAGCCACAGCTCCCGAGCAAGCCTTTGGAAGCTAGTCTTAGCCTCTTGTCTTCCTCCCACCTTTACCTGCCTGCCTTTTCTTCATTTCAGGGAAGAACTGATTCCAAGAATCTTGGGGACAATTGGGTAAGACTCCACTAACGGGCACAGGTAGTTAGAAGTTTGCCTAAAGGAATGCAGAACGCTCAAGGAATGCGGACTTCCTTGAAGGTCTGCCCGTCTAGACCGGCTAACGGCATCAAGGTGGACTCATCCCAACTTCGACCAGTTACCCCCTTATCCTTGAAACCTCTCCAGCTTGTTTCGCACACACATGCCCTTAGCATCTGCTACGGTAAGAGTCAAGGCCAAGAAAATATTTGGTGGCACTGCAGAATGCGCTGGGACTGCGGTACTGAGGAAGGTAGGCATGGGCCCTGGACAGCTCGAACGTGGTGAGCAAACTGAGAACACTGCCCAGACTGCTCTCTGGGGCCTCAGTTTCCTCAACTGCAGATGCAAGAGCTGAGCTAGACTGGATCAGTAGCTGCAGTGCCCTGTGCTTCTTAGGGGGGTGTGCCCCTCACGCACACTGCCCCAGACCGGACGGGATTCCGTCCCAGGCAGCGACCCCTATGCAGGCAGAGTGCAGGGCAGGCGGCAGTGGGAGCCACTCGGGCACAGGGGGCCCCACCTGCTGCATCTCGGGAAGCTGCTCACACTGTCACCAGCAGACCCACTGTGCCATCGTGACCTGGGTAGTGTGCCAGCTTCCGTGCGGCTTTGTAATGAACACAGCAGCTCCGTGCCCCACTCCGTCAAAGGTATGTGTGCCACTTACCTTATTTAAACCCACCGCCTACAGCCCAGACCTCCTTAGCTATGTGTCACAGATGAGAAAACAGGCTTGGAGGAGCCAGCCCACTTGCCCAAGGCCCCATGGTTGGGTTGAGCTCAGGACTGTGACTCCACAGCCTGTGTCCCCTAGTGGGATGTCCAGAGTTGAGCTGAGTAGCTGGGGCCGTAAGAGGGAGCGCCACCCAGGAGCAGGCTCTCAAATACTGCCCGTGGTGAGGAGGCCCCATGCCGAGTCCCACTGGGCAGTGTGCCCAGGTGGTCCCAGCCGGGCTGGAGTACCTGCGCACCTGCGCAGGGGGACAGCAGTGGAGCAGCCGGAGGCCTGGCCTTCAGCTCCAGTTGCTTTGCCTGGGTTAGGGTTAGGGCCCAGGAAACCTGTTCTGTCCTTTCTTTCAGTCCTTGGGGGAACCGCCCTAGCATCCTGGGCCTACAGTCCTCCCAGAAGGTATTTCAGAGCAATGGAATTCTTGCTTTGCCCTTTTTAGTTGACCAGGGAGGAGTCTCGGTGCTGCTTAAGGTGAAACAGGAAAGTTTTAACATTCCAGAGGCGTGCTGAGTGGACCACGCCTGGCTGAGTCCTGCAGCGTTGTTGCCTCTTTGAGGAAGGGCATATCGGAGTAGGCAGGGGGCAAGGAGAGGATGGTCCCAAGCAGGGCTACTGCCCCACCAAGGGTGCTCAGCGCAGGGCACCGGGTGCTCAAGCTAAGCCTGTACCCTGGTGTGAGGCTGCGTCCTCCTGGAGTTCGGGGGTCCTTTCTGTCCTTCTCACAAAGGTGCCTCATGGAAGCAGCAGCCCCAGCCCTACAGAGCTCAGAGGTCGGGGACACAAATGGTATCGCTGAGTAGACAGAGGCTGAGGGCAGTGACCCTTCCCTGCCTGACCTGAGGCTCACACCCTTGTATCTGGCTTCCCAGGCAGGCTCCAGTTCTGAGAAGAGCTGGTCCCCGGCCACCCCTCGGGGCTCTCAGGATTCTGACAGTGGCAAGAGGCCCAGACCCAGGCACCTACCCCCCTCCCCCACCTCTGAGCTTTAGCTGTTTGTGAACTGGCTACAACCCCCTGGCTGAGCCCCTCCAGGGACTAATGGTTTCACCGCTGTCGCAGAGGTAGGGGCAAAGGAGGCAGCAAGAGCCTGCCTTGCGTGGGGAGGACCGGGCCAGTGGCTGCACCAGGCTGCCTTCTCCCCCTCAGTCACAGCAGGCCCAGAGCTTGGAGGCCTTGCTTCAACTTACGGCCTAAGAGTTGGTGCCCAGCGAGCTGGCCCTCTGTGAAGATCTGCTTGGGATGACTCTGGCCTGGGAGGTGTCCTGAGAGCTCTCAGTCATCTAGCAGCTAGGGAGGCAGCTCTGTAGGACGCCAGCATTGGAATGGATTGTCCTCAGCTTGCCTCGTCTGCCCTCCGTGTTTCCCGTTACCTCACGAGGCCTTTGGGCCAGTCCCGGGAGTGCAGGGCAGGCCGTCTCCGCTGGGACGGCACAGAAGTGGGGGCTCTTGTACTGGTTTAAGGGGAGTAATGGGAGAGGAACTGGGAAGAGGCAAGATGCCCCGTTTTCTCTCTCCTCCAACAACAGAAAGATAATGCAGGAGTCAGTCTCCCTGATGTGTGCACAGCTCTATGCAGGAGCTGAGGTGGGCGCCTCAGGAAGGAACTGGTAGGGAAGGGGAAGTAAGAAGCTACGAAAGCCCGAAGGGACTTGGTCCTGGCAGTGGGGTGCGGGGTCTGGAGTAGGGTGGGGACAAGACTTGCCAGCCTTGAGGAGGTCTTGGCCCCAGCAGCCTCAAGCTTTTCTCAGCGTCAAGGGCTGAGAAGCCCTGGCCTAGAACTAGGACCAGGGCCACGTGGAGTTGTGACGTGACCTCTGGAAGAATGGCCTTTTAAACCCAGCCTCTGGCTTTTCAGAGACTTGATGCCGAGGTGGCTGAGGTGGCCTGTCGCTTCCTTCCAGCTCACTAGGGGGGTGGGGAGGCACAGCGGACACCAACAGGACACTGTGGGTAAGAAAGGGGACGCACTACCTTCTCAGCTCCCCCCGCCTTATGTTGTAGTCCCATTTGATGTGTCCACTCCAGGCCAGGCTGTTAAATTCTCACGTACTGGAACAAAAGGGCTGCAGTGGAGAGACTCAGCTCTCTGCATTTTATAAACCGAACAGCACAATTCACATCTTCTGCTTTCATTCCTCTAATCAAAATAAGAATCAAAGAGCGTATTTATCTTAAGAGCTTTCATTGTCAAGGACTGAAATAACCAGATCAAAGCCTTACGTCTAGGACGTCTCCTCCACCATGGAAAAGCTTTTTTCAGCTCAGTGGTGGTCACTGCGATGGGATCAAGTGTCCAGTGCACCTCTGTCCCCAGGTAACCACTATTCTGATTTTTGTAGCAATCTGATTTCCTTGCTTTTTAGTTTTACCATTTGTAGATGATTTCCTTAGAAGTTTGCCCTTTTTTGGTACCAGTGAAGATCAGTGAAGTCCTATGACATTTATTTGTGACCAGCTTTTTGTTCAGCATCATATTTGAGACAGTCCCATACTACTGTGCTGAACCTGTACCTTTTTTTACTGCAGAGAGGCTGCTCTCTCATGAGTAAAGCAGTGATTGGACATGTGGACTTCTGAGGTGGATTTGTGATATTCTGTTGTCATGGATTTTTTTCCCCTGCATTATTTTAAATTTTATCTAAATGGCTAACTGTTGCACACTTTCACTAGAAAGTCCCTCTTTCACACTGACCTCCAGTGCCACCTCTGAAGTGATTACTGTCTTCATCTTACTCAGTAACCTTAGTCCTTGTGCCCGCACGTGTCAGTGAGTGTTAACTAGCTCAAGCTTTACAGCTGCGCTTGGAGGGCTGGTCGAATGAGTCTTCCTGTATGACTCTGCTCAAGTGTCTTGGCTATTCTTGGGCTTCGTCCTCCTAAGCACATGGCAGAACTACCTTGCTGAATTAACCTTCATATTAAGTTTTTAAATGGAATTTCAAAATTATGATTTTAGACAAGCTCTGAAAATGTTTTCTGGTTTTAAAAGTGCTTTAAATACGACACCCTGCTGTGGTTATGTTAAAAGCTGAACTCACTAGAGATCTTCTCTCTGCTAACCTACTAACAGCTCTGGTTCTGTCTGGCAGGCGGTGGAAGCAGAATTCCCCTTACCAGCCACACAACCGTCTCCTCTCCAAGCCCAGTTACATTTTAGACACGAGGAAGAACTTACGAAGTTTTCACAAAAGGTCCTCATCCAACAAAAAGGAACTGCATGTATGTTTAGACACACAGTAAGTCAAAAACAGCTCTCTCTGAGCACAAAACACTGTTGTGCCTTTTAAAGACCAAAACACAAGTTCTAACAGGTCTGCTGGCTCGGCCCTGAGGGATGAACTAAGTTTGTCAGACCTACCACCAGGATGACAGGATCACCTGGCCCATTCTAGTTCAGATAAACATCGACACTTAAACCATCTTAATTATCAGTTCAAAGCGGAGTTGAAGGAATTCCCCGCTCCAAATGAGTCACACGTCTGTGAAGGCGCTCGAAGTCCAAATCCAGGTACTTAATTCTCCATTATTACCTTAATGGAATGAAACCCATCTGACAGAGCTGAGGGTTGGGGGGGGGTATACCTATCTGGCATTCAGTTTTGTTCTAAAGTAGCCCAAGATGCCTTGGAACTGAGGCGGCTTTTGGGCAAGATTATACACATGACTGCAGCCAGGCTGAAGGTGACTTGGCCACAGGCTCTAAGCCCAGCGTCCCTTGGTTGGAGATGGTGGACACTCTCTTACACCAGCTCAGGACCATGTTCAACGCTAAAACACTTCTGGTACAGTTTCACCCAAGGCCAAATGCTACAGAAACTTGGCAGACAGTCTCATCTACTAACCGTGAGATTCTTTCCATCATTACAACTTTCCTCAGGATGAAGTTGAGTTATATAACTTAGCACCCTCACAAGCAACCTAGTGACAGGGAAAAAAGGTGACACAATCGAATGAATTAAAAGTTTAATTCTGAACCATTTTTATAACCGCATTTTCTCTTGAAGCATTGTATCACAGCAGGTTACAACAACTTTGGGATAAAAGGCAACTGGTAAACTGTCCAAAACAAGGTTCCAAATAACACCTCTTATACTGATTTACCCTACCCATACATATCCCAAATAGAGTTTTTGATCAAAAACATGAAATAGATCCACCTGCTTATTTTAAGCATATTAAAAAGGAAACTAATTGGACCATTTCTATTTGTCTATTTTATACAAAAAGGCTACACAATGTTACACTTTATTCAGATTACAATTAGAGTGATTATGAATTAGTGTTCTACACCATTACTCAATTCTTAAAAATTAGAAATTGCTGTAGCAGTATTCACTATAACTTAACACTACAAGAGACTTAAAAAACTAACAGTTACTGCAAAAAAAAAAAAATGAAAGAGCTACTTTAAAGCAAGCAAAGTCAGTACCATTACAGATATTAAAAAAAAAATTTTAACAAGCAAGGCTAGAGTTTGATAAATTCCATCCTGTGATCCATTCTTGTGCATTCTTCACTTCTTGAGTCACTCCCAAAATCCATTTGTATTGTTACTCCTCGACCAAAAAGGACCAGAACAAAAAGTTTACTTCAATTGTTCCCATAGGAAACTCAGCTTGGTTAGTGTGTCAGGCACTTTCTGAGATACCAGCCCACCCCTCGAGCCCTCTCAGCAACTCTACAGGCCAATCACAATGCAAGTTCAGACAATACAGCTGTATAAAGAGAGAAAGGCTGCTATTAATGTTTAAAACAGCAAATGTTACTCATTTGAGTATTAAGTTGCAAAAGCTGTGGCAAAAAACATTAAAGTTAATAACTTCCACACATGACCACGTAACAACCAGAAATCCGAGAACATTCAAATGTTCTAAGACATCTCCTTTCAAAGTATGTATCTGTTTTTGTGGCAGATTTACAAGTAGGCCTAAAGCACTCCCACCCTACCAACCCAAGTCTTTCTGAAGTTCTGTAGGCAGAGTAAAAGTATTTTACCCAAACTGGCTTTTTAAACTTCTTACCTAAAGGATGAGTTACAGGTCAGTATCAAACCAGGCCAGCTGATTGCTGTCACCCGGAGGCAGCCCGTCCATGAGGTCCTGGGCATGCCCCAGATCCGGCAGCCCATCAACTGGATAGTCAGCACCAGGGTGGTGGCCTCCCATCTCGTGCTCCATCATGGGGTCCATACCCAAGGCATCCTGTCCGTATCCACCGGAGTGAAAAGAACGATAGCTGGGATCTACAAGAGTCAGGGGTAGTGACAAAATGGGTGAGAGAGAAGACAGACAAAATGAACACTAAGGTAAGGGTACCCAAGACATAGACAACAAACATGGTTACCAGGGAGGAGGGTGGGAAGGGATAAACTGGGAATTCAAGATTTGCAGATACTAACTACCATATATATAACAGATAAACAATAAGTTTCTTCTGTATAGCACAGGGAACTGTATTCAGTATCTTGTAACTTGTGGTGAAAAACAATGTGAAAACAAATACATGTATTTCCTGTATGACTGAAGTACTGTGCAGTACACCAGAAATTGACACAACACTGTAAACGGACTACATTTCAATAAAAATATTTTTAAAAAAGTAAGAAGGGTACCCAGTGGCAGTAAGCACTGCTTTCTAACCTCTTCAACTTCTAGCTTCTTCAGCTAAATAACCACCCAGGGCCAGGCCACCCACGAGGCTACACAAAGCCTGCTTCCACCAAAGGCAGACCAGCCAGTTCTCGTCCTGGACGTCTGGCTTCTACCAGGCAGAGACACGGGTTCCTGAGGAGCAGCAGCCGCAGTCTACTGTGTGAAAGCGTGGCTGAGTCGTGGCAGGAAAAGGCGGTAACAAGGAGGTCGAGCAAATGTAATGTTTGTTGAGAAGTCCAGGTGATACCCACAAAAGCACTGAGAAAATGTACCAGTTTCCAATGAAACCTTTTTATGTTTTATCTTAAGGGCTGGCATTTATGTACCTGTCAAGGTAAGAAGCTTCTGACCTTCAGTAGTTTGGTTTAAGTTGAATAGTTACATTAGTAGTCGTGTACCCCTAATATGCTCCATCTCCATTACCCAGATTCAAAGTAGCTTTTCAGAATACTACGTAAATACCCACATTTCAGATCTGCGCCTAGTGACAGAAGTTCCCCATGCTCCCACTTTCCGGGTGGGTTTTAGACACAGGTATTATGGGTTCTCTGACCAAGAAAAGTGAATAAAAAGCCAGGTGACTGGTTACCATCCTGCACTGCAGAGGCCTGGCAGTAGTGACTTGTAGTTGCTGGTGTGATCCTGTTGCTCACTCAGTGTGGCTCAGAATTCCCTGTGCTCCACTAACCACACTGTTGCTTACTCTACAATTTCAGAACTGCCTTTAACTGCTGCCACTACTTTCCTGCCAACACTGGTTTCCCAGAGGAGCAAACCAGCTCTTCTGATAAAGCTTTGGACCTTTACCTTGATCGGGAGTTAATCAGGAAATAGGAGACACATACCATCCTGGCGATATCCAAGGGGTTCTCCCTGGGCACCAATATCAAGTCCAAGATCAGCAGTCTAGATAAACAGGTACAAGGCAAGGAGGTGAAATGAACATTCTCAACTTAAAGTGACCTCTCTAGCATTTTGAAAAAAAAAGTTTTCGATTACAAAAGTACCGTACGAAGGAACATTACTTCTGTATTTTCTAAGTACTTCTGTAAACAAAACAAATACTTCATACTCTACCCTTCAAAGATTAACCTATAGAAACGTTTTCTCACTGCACATATTAAAAATACTAATTTATTTTTTCAGCAAATATATATTAAGTACTTACTAGGTGCCAGACACTGGTCTAGATTCTAGAGAGATAACAGAAAACAAAACAGGCAGTATCTACACCTCCAATGGTTGTTGTTGACAAAATGTGTTATATATGAAAAGATTTTCAGAGCCTGAGCAGCTAAAAGAACAGAGTTGCCATTAACTGAAAGCAACAGGTCTGGAGACCCAGGTGGGTGAGGAAGTTCACAGCTCAAGTTTGGACACGTAAAGACTGCCTACTAAAAAGCCAACTCACATATTACTCACTGTTTGGCAGTCAGATTTTTTTTTTCCACCTGACAATATAGAGGATGTAGTTCACTTTATGACTATATGCCATAACTGAAGACACTTTTAGGGTAGTTCTAATGTTTCAATGAACAACTCTGTACTAGGAAAAAATACTGAACAAATTAACAAATTCCAGTAGAAAAGTAGGTGAAAAATTGAGTGTTTTTAAAAATAGTATTATTAAATTGACCTCCAACTAACAGTATTTAATAGACTGCCTCTCTCCTAACATCCTTTTGAAAAATGTTCTTCAACCTGGTACCTTTTTCCTCTATCTCCCTTACAAATTCTAATGTTAAAACAGCGTAACTTGTTTGTTCTGAACAGGCTGTTTAAAGCTGTATTTTTCCCGCACAGAGTCGCTGAGATAGCGTGAAGAATGAAGGAATATTCAAGCCAAGGACACAGTCAAGGCAAATGAAAGCGTACTGAGTGTTTTTTTGAGAGGAAACCACGAACTGCCTTACCTACTCTAGCAAACAACTAAGAAACGTGCTCATGCTGCCTACCTCGTTCCAAGCCATGGGCTCCGTTCTGAAGAGAGAACTGGTCAGTTCAACCGAAAGCCGTTTCTTATAATCCTGTGGCTTGTCCTCTGACATCCGGAACAAAACAGCAGCTGCGTACGTTGCTGGGAGAGGATGGAGAAAAGGTCCTTGAGGAAAAGCTGAGGCTTCACCGTCACCAGCAGCTAAAGGCTCTGGCTCCTTTCCTCACTTACCCACGCCCTCGTTCCGGGAGTGAAGTAGCTCCGTCAGCGGTGCGGTGGCTCCCTCGGCCTCGATGGCTTCTGCAGCCTCCTTGTCCTGAGCGAGCTCACACAGGACCCCTGCAGCTACTCTTTGGATGTTCTCAATGGGCGAATACAGCAGCTACGGAGAGAGCACGCACGAAACCTAACTGCATCTAAAGTTACAACATGGCAGGCCTCCCACAGTGGTGCCAACATTCCCAGTGCAGAGTGTAAGTGGCACTTGTACTGCTTTAAATCATACACTCTAAGTTTATGTTCTAGGGTATTCGATGCTGTGGAGCACTTGTACCTACAAACCCTTTCTTCAGTGTTTTATTCAAGCTGAAATTTGGAAAACCCAGAGGTGGCTGGGGCGGTCTGTGCCCTGGCAGCTTTTGTCCTTTCAAAACTAAGCAGCCCCAGAAGTGGCGACCGTCTCCTCCCCCTTCTGCCTGTGAAAAATGAAGGGAATTTTCAGAAAAGTAATGTATTCAGTTAAAAAAAGGACATTAACACACTAAGATTCTATTTCTCACACTCTGACGGGGAGTGGGGGCAGTACTGCCATTTTATAAATGGTGATAGGAGATGAAAAATGTTGGTGCCCCTGTTTTGGCCCCTGATTTCCTGAAATTTTGCTTATCTTTGAAATCCTGAAATTTTATCAACATAAAAACTAGAATGCCTCCTTTAACACAAACATACCTGCACAAACAGTGGAATGGTATTTAGTCCTCTTATAACAATTCGGTTGTGAACATCCCGAGCTAGGATGTGAAGGGCTCCAGTACAACCTTCTACTATTTCTTCCATGCGGACCCCCTCCTACCGAGAGAGACAAGGTTAATAAATACGGTACTTTCCTCTCTAACGTTTATATATTTGAAAGGCTTTCTGTTCTGACCAGCAATTACTAGACCAGTTATTCACATTATAAACCCACAGTTCCCCAGAATTTGCAATTAGTTCAGGAATGAAGGGGGACTCCATGAAGCTGAATGTCACTTTCTGAAGGGGGTGCTCTGGGCAGCACCCCTCCCCGATGCACAGTATTGTGCACAGCACAGGGTCCCGAAGATGCCTTCCTTACAGTCAGGGCACCATGCACCCTGAGTAAAAGGGATATATAATACAGAAAGATGGAAAAGGAACATGCAGACTACACCAGTGTTTTCTCTCAGATGCTCCATCACTGTACATCTGTGTGTATTTGGTGAAAACTTAGCAAAGTTTTATCACCAACTGCTAAAATTCTACTCAGCTGCCAGTAGAAAACCACTCACCTCCTCCAAGACTATTCAACTCACAGCCTGTATGGGAGAAGGAAGTTGCTTTTCAAAATTTAAGTACAATCTGCTTTCCCCGATTCTGAGTTTTTAAACAAGGTTATAATTCTACTTTTAGCAGCTTTTCTATTCAACTTAATTTTTATAAGGACACAAAAACTCCTTTCTTTCTAGAGAAGAAATTTAAAAAGGTGCCCTTTGCCATCTATTAGGCCACCTCATGGAGACAGGCCAAAACCAAAAGTAATAAATGGAAAAAGCCAAAACGACCTCATAAGCACATACGTATCACAGTAGCAATGAGTCTCAAGATCTGTTCTGGTAAAAGATCTTGGTAAAGTAACTTGATTAAGTAAGAGAGACTCTTTGAAGGTCTGATTCTTAAAGTGCATTCTGAGGAATCAGAAGTGTCTTTAGATACTAGTAACAAAGCTAGCTTGTTTTAAAACTGCAAATTTGACATCAAAGTTTCAGGCTTGTAATCTGTTGGTATTCTTAAAAACCCATGAAAATAGCTGAACCACTCTTGGAAGGGACAGTAAAGGGTGCGTTACACATTTACAGGTAGAACTCATATTGGCTCTGAAATCAGACAGGCCTGGATTCAAACTAAGGCCCTGCTACTTCCTAAGGAGGTGAGACTGGATTAAAGAAGACCACAGCAGCAAAGCACACCCCCCTCCCTCTGTAAGACTGGTCAGGACCGGCCACAGGCAACATCACTAGGGGCCGTGTTACTCCTTATCTTATCTGCAGCCAGAGACATGCCAGTTTTTCCAGCCATTAGCAAGCAGCCCTTCAGGCAGGAAGGAGGACGGAGGGAGCCAATGACTGAAGCTGGTCAGGATCCTCTGGATTTACACATTCCTCTTAAATAGCCAGGTGTCACTGCCGAGATTCACTTACCACAAACTGCTGCTGTGTTCCACCCATAGATGTACGACGCTGGGTATCCTGATGTGCACGCACCAGCAACTGGACTAGCCGTGGAATGGCACCCTGCTCACGCAAAGGTGCGTGATTTGCTGGACAAAGGGCAAGATTGCGAATCAATCCAACGGTAGCCTGCAGATCAGGAGGAAGAGTGAAGAACTGGACACAACTCAAAATCACTTTCTTAGCCTAAAATTCCCACCGCACTAGATCTGCCACTATCACCTGGAAGCAGAACCCACTACACAGACAGTTCAGACCCCACCCCCACCCCAGCCACAGTTCTCGTTTACTGAAGAATACAATTCCCATTTAGCAATCCCTCAGGCCTAGACAGCCATCTGATAGTAGCTAGAGGCAGTTCATTTTCAATTCTGCAGTTTTCTACTTTGACTGACAGTTTACCTTGATCAGAGGCCAGTGGGATGGCGGGTGGAGGAGTTTCACCACGACTGGTAGTCCGTAGTGAAGGCGAACAGCATTCTGGGCCATCTCAGCTTCCTGGTGCCGGCTGGTCAGATGACGAAGAGCACAGATGGCAGGCTCAGTGATGTCCTCCCTGTCACCAGCACGAAGGACAGTACGCACAAGAGCCTCTATACCACCCACTTGGCACACCATCATCTTGTTCTTATAATTATTGCAAGTGAGATTAGAAAGAATTCCAGCTGCACAGGTGACCACGTTTATATCATCTGAGCCCAGAAGCTGAACAAGGGTCCCAAGAAGACCTTCCATCCCTTCCTACGGAGATGAAAACAGATGCTCAGTACACATTCAGCGTGACTCTTATCACTAACTCACCAGTTTCCTCAGAATTCACCTGTTTAGTTGCAGCATCTGAAAGATTCCTAAGGGTCCAAAGACAGTTCTGAACAAGACGCTGACTTGGATCCGTCAGGTGAAGTCCTAAAGCCTGCATTCCACCTAAAAGGATTAAAAAACAGCTAAGGCGATGGCTATCAGCTCACAGCTCCCACTAGCACCAGTGTCTTCTCTAGTCTCAGAGGGTGCCCCTCTTCATTGCCGAAGCTTATCCCTTCCACCTTTACTTCCTTTCATTTTCTAGAATGCTGCTCAGTTTCCCTTTCTTTCTTGTTCACCTCCACTAGTGATAACTTCTGTCATTTCAAGAATATTTAATACAAGGCCCTATTGAGTTGAACCTATATCAGTGAGCAAAGGTCTAAAATTCCTTCGTTTACAGAGCACATGGCATAGTTGGAGGCAGACAAACAAAAATGCCATCAGTAAACTAAAACCATATAATATACAGTGTTACAAAGAAAGTAAGATGGGGGGGCACTACAATTTTTAAGTAGGGAGATAAGGGCACCTCACTGTGAAGGTGACATCTAGGCAAAGATCTGAACTATATAAACTCACGATGTGAGAACAATCCAAAAAGAAGGCACTGGAACACTTACTGCCAGGGACTGCATAAAAGGCACTGACTCCAAAAGATGTGCCCCAAAGGCTGACAACCTTCCATCTTTAGGACCATAAGGAAGTACATTTACCCTGGCAGAGGAGTCTAAAAGCAAGTTCAGTTCCCCGCGTATGGGCTTAATCTCATCACTCTCCTACTGAAATCACTTCCAAATGTGCTGCGGTACACTTC